TACAAACCACATTGATTTAAATAATACAGAGGCATATTGTTCTGAGGAACTTGCTGCCTTGATTAACTAATCGCACACACGCACACTCAAGGGTCAAGAGTGCACCGACACCTTTTATGGAAGGAATATCTGATAACTGGATGCTGAGAAAAACATGAGCACCAAATATTGTACTAGTGAGCCTTTCCATTAAGTATCAGTTGAACAACATCCACGTTCAGTCCCTCTCCTCGACGGGACGTCACCAAAAACCAGATTAAACACGTTCTCAAAAAAAAAAATCATCATCTAGGCTAAGACGTGCACCATACCGTCACTTAAACTTCTAAAATTGAGATTTCCACCCTATTTTACAAACATAAATCAACATGAGACTGTTTGCATCCATCACAGCCTTGAACGTGAATGCATGCCCGTAGTGTTCTGGGGTTACATTTTAGATTGGGTGCAAGATTTTGGACCAGTGAGGTCCACTAGGCTGAGCTACAACTGTCACAGAAAATTAGAAAATGTATTTATTTTTTTAAAAATTGTACACTTTAGTAAGTGCATTTTTTTACAGTTTAATAAGCGACACTTTAAGCTTTACTTCAACCTGTTCTTCAATGATAATGATGGCATATGCTATTCCAGTATTTTGGAATTGTCAACCAATTCCATTTCTCTCGGCTTCATGCCCCCGCACTCAAGACTCTCACACTTTGGGTCAGAAAAGTTACTCTTTAGTTTTTGGCAGACGTTACTCAAAGTTGTTGGCGACTTTTTTCATCCGTGGATTTGGTGCCCTAGTGAGTATTTACTGCAGCACAATGTGGGATTGATTAAAATAAAGCACAGCAGTGTTTCCCACAGGATTCTGTGAGACTGTGGTGGACGGACCTTGGACCCTCTACGGGGGTCCGGGTGGATGCCCCCCTCCCCAGTCACTGATGTGTTTAAATAGTTATTTTGGGACAACATTGGCTCTCTATGGCACAGATGATTCAAATATATCAAGCTTTGGCTACACAGACAAGACTTGTTATACGTTTTAATGCATTTATTGTTGCTTTTGCTCTTTGTTTGAGATTGATTGATATTTTAAAAACTGTATGATATCAGTAGACGTTTCCTAGAGGACTGCTGGATGCTTTTTGTCTTTTAAACAGTGTTGAATTCCTCGATGCACTCGCTCAACTAGATGCTGTGAACTTTCCACAGGGATTGTGGGCCTACGCTGACTTCATAGCATCCCATTTTTCCTGATATTTCACATTATACTGTGCCACCGGATGCAATAATGTGCCCAATCCATTTGAAAAAGACTAGACTGCTGCGGTGATAAATGGCTGAACGTGCTCAGCAACGATCTGTGAGCACACTGTGGGGTTCAGCAGATGCTCAGTCGGTGCTTCGTGACGGGATTTTGCTGAACAAGGTGACATTTTTCTTATTTTCCCCACTTCCAGTCACTGGAGATCACATGGACGTTGAGGGGGAGTAGAGCCGTGTCCATGTGCAAGTAGAGCGTTCTGAGACGTCCCCGTGCACATCACTGTTTACAATTGCAGCCTGTCAGCTGGCATGAGCACATCTTGCCACTCTCTCCGCTGACCTCTTTCGTCTGCGATTGCATTTTTGTCCCAAGAATGGCTGCTGTTGTCAGGATGCTTTTTTATTTTACTGTTTTGTTTTGTGCTGCTATCCTCTGTAAACTCAACACTCCCCCCCCCGTCCCCCATCCCCCGTGTGACGTCTGTTTGTCAGATGAAGGGAACCAAAGCGCCTGTTTATTTGATCGCACCATATTCAAAGGGACTTAAATCTCCCACCTTGCCCATTTCCAACATTTAGTTGAACAGCAACTGAGCCTCTCAACTCTGTCTGCCCGCTTTATGACTTATTTACACTCCCCTCAGTTGGGGAGGGCATGCTGTTTGCATACAAAGGGGGAGGTGTGAAGTGAGAGCATGTTTTGGGGAAGGATAGAGTTGAAGAGAGAGAAAAGACACAGAGGGAGGGGAGAGCCTGCAAGCTGATGTGACAACAGAGATGCCGGACAGTTCCGCTGGACTCGGTTTTATTTGGAATCCCGCTCTCTATAGGAGCTCAACAAGACAACCAAGTTATTCAGCTGTATACCTCATTATGTGTGGTAGTTTCTTGACGGCAAAGTTTTGCACTTTTTTATTATTATAATTTGTTTTTAGAGCAGCATCAAAGTGAAACGCCTTTAATCCAACATGTATTTTCAGCCGTCACAGATTGCATTTAAAGTGCTTTCCCTTATGACATTCTAATGTGATGTTCTTGAAGTAGTCATCCGCCCCCCCCCCCCCCACACACACACACACACACACACACACACACAAATGTCCTTTGTAGCCTTCAGTTAACCATCTGCTGGGATGGGAGCACACATGGTAGAGGATGTGTTAATGAATGCGTCGTTATATAATCCAGACCTGTGGTGGAGGGAGAGACGGGAGAGCGAGCGACAGCACCGGATCAGCACCTCTCAAACAGAGTAGAAGAGAGAGAAGGTGAAGAGATTCATTGTGCCACATGTGCCCCCAAGTGGCCTGAGGTAGCATCTCCGCCTCCTCTCTGTGATCTCTTCGAACATGAACGGGGGGCAACTGCTGCTTTGCCTTTTTCTCCTTCCATAAAGAAAAACTCCAGAGACACAGGAGCTGATGCATTGCGGGCAGATATAGGGATGGTGTTGCTTTTTCGATGACCACTGTTAAATGGGCCCGCATGCTGACACAGTGAACAACAAAGCTGGGACGGCTATTATAAATCAGTTCCCAGGCCCTCCCTCTTCCTCCTCCTGCCAAAAAATGCCATACCTGACCCCTGCCCTGGCCCGGCCATCATGCCCCTTATGAATCAAAGACGCTGGAGAGACAAGGACTTATGAGCCCTTTGCTCTGCCTCCCCATTTTCTCCTTTCTATAGTTCTTGTAGACTGTACATTTTTTTTCTGTCTAGCTAGGTCGTGTGATAAATCCTCAAGCGAGGTTTTTAAAGCACCCGCGGAGCAGAAAGCGCCCGGCTTACACTGCCTTCACATCCGTTAATAGACTGTACATAGCGGGTCAACACATCTGAGGATACATGCATGCCCTCCCCCCCTGCCTCTGCCAGTCCATCACACCACAAACACTTTTCATCTTCTCAGTGGAATTGAGCTGCTTTATTGACAGAAGGAAATACTGTTAATACAGCATGCAGGAAAAGGGCAACAAAACGGCTTATGTTGATCACTGAAAACATATTATTGGTTTTAAAAAAGGCTTTAGTTTGGATGTTCTGAAGCCTAATTCCCCACTTTCACAATATTGGATTTAAATTCCACCTCGCTCATCTATTTTAGCTTAGCATAAACATTGAGAAGAGGGTGTAACGGCTAGCTTGGCTTTGACCAAAGGTAACAACACGTCTGCATATGAAACTGGGTAAAAAAAATAGATCTAAACACCCTTATTTCACATCTTCAAAAAACTGAAGATAATTCTTTCAGGGCAACATGGATTTGTTTTGATAGACCTGTTCTAGAAGAACTTAAATTAAGTCATAGATTGTAGAACTGTTAACACTGTGAGTGAGGAGCTAATTAAGATACAAGTCCAATATAAGTCATTTTAAATGTGTTTTTATTGAACCTTTATTCAGCCAGGATAATCCCGTTTCACACAAGTGCTACATAAAAACGAAGATTTGAGTCTTACCTTATTTGTATAAAGTTCACCACTGTGAGAACGGGCATAATACAATAACAGCCTGTCACAAATATCGATACTACTATAACACGGTTCTCAAGTTAATCTCCTTGCCTTCCTGCCCATAATAACAATAACCCATCTAATAAACACGGACTAGGACAAGTAGCCCAGACTCTGGTCTGCTTCACTGGGCCTGAACACAACCGTTTCATCTGTTGAGCCGGCGGGCCAAATCAAGTGGTCTTTATTAAAGTCGCTTTGATGGATTCACCCCCGGCCTCCCCCGCTGTGATCTATCGCCTGTCCAGACCCTGGAGGTCGTAATAAACTTGTTTAGCAATGGGGTTGCGCCGGCCGCATCCAAGCAGAGCATGTCAGTGTGTGTGTGTGTGTGTGTGTGTGTGTGTGTGGGGGGGGGGGGGGGGGGGTGGCTTTACTGCTTGTACAGTTTGGCACACGGCTCAAGTTGTCCCAACCTGTGGGTTTCATACCAAAAGCTGCTCGTACTGGATCCACTTATGATGATATTTGTAGTTTCCTCACAGATTCTAGCAAGATTGCATCATATTTTTTATACACGCTCACACGCACATATTTAATAAGCTATGGTCAGGCACGGTAACAGAGGTGTTATCCCTCTGAGTAGCTCCTGCATATTCCTAAAAAACAGCAATAAATCAATGGCAATTGAGCATGCACAGGTCCTTCACAGATTCAGTGAAGTCTCACACAGAAAAGCTATTTATTTCAGCTATTTATTTGTGGAAAAAAAAAGAAAGAATTATCCGTTTTTGTTCAGCGTATCTCTGGCATTGATTAGAATAAGCAGGACATTTGAAAACACAGACCTGGCTTACATTTCATTAAGCTTCATTTCTCATTTCTGCAGTTGTGTTACATTGGCAGCCGTCAGACGTGACTCCTGGGAGTTGCATCAGTCGGGGAAGATGAGATCTTGTAAGTGTTCTGTCTGTCCTTTTATTGAACGAAGCACAACAATTAGCAGATGTTGCAGACTAGGCCGGCCAACGTGCGTGTTATCTTCCAGTTAGCACACGGCTCATGTCCCCAGCCTACACCGCCATATCCAGGTCATAGTTAGTCGAAGGTGAAAGCCATCCGCGTTCTAATAGGAACCATAACTGATTTAATGAGCCATTCGCAGTTTCACTGTACCGGCTGTGTGTACTTAGACTTGCATGGCTTAATCTTTGAGACAAGCATATGCTACTGGCAGGGACCGATGCTATTGGATGATTCATCAGATCAATGGTCGGCAGTTCCCATCTGACTTCCTGAGTCCAGCATGTGGGGCTTGTTGGAGTTTATGTAGCTCAGACGGTAACAAGCACCTGGCACCGTGGATTATAGGCACCGAAGACTTGTACGAATTTATTGTTTCAACAAAATAAACAGTGAATTTACAACTTCGTCCCGGGGTGTATTACAAAATGTTTCACTTTTGAAAGTAAATTACGCCAGTGAAAGTGTATGATGCGCTTTTATGAACGAAATCTCTCACAAATAAAGATTTACGAGCGCTGTGCCTGTGAAGAATTGCAGATATTTCATTCTGAAAAGGCCCGTGGAAGATACCGCAAAGGGCAAAGCCTGTTATTATTGCTGTTCTTTATGGTGTTTTATTAACAGTGGTAAACCACTGAAGCCACTGTAGGTTATCTTACCCTATATTGTGTATGAACTGGGACTATAAGTCCTGGCATGTTACAGTCTGAAAATGCTACTGGAATAAAGTTACAATCAAGGTATTGCATAGGAGAATCTAAATACCAAGATCCAAGTTAAAAAAGCAGTTAGTGTGAGACTATTTTTCTCAAGGCTGTGTCTGAAAATGATTGCAATTTGGTCACATTTATTTACAGCAAGCAGACAAACACACAGCAAGTTTTCACAGTTTAATATAAAAAAGGTAGGTATTGAGATAGTGCCTCTAAAGGTTTATCCATTAAGCAGTTGCATTTGAATTGAGTAACTGGTCATAACATAATCTGATGTGATCAGTTTTTTTTGTCTTCTGTAGCAACGTTCATACCCTCTTCCTCTGTCAGCTGAGCGGTCCTGAAATACAGTCTGGACACCGTCTGCGAATAGATATTGTCGGTTGAAATTCTCACTCAGGTATTCCCTTCAACCAGTCTCCGAGAGTCCACACGTGTCCCCAGGCCATTGCTAAAGCCCCACTCCGAGATGTCCAGAAGCCAAAACAAATTTCCTTCCCCCAAAATCTACCATTTTCCTGGATATTGTTCATTTTATTCATCAGAGTGCGACATTGACTCGATAATCTGGCACCGCCAACGCGTCGTGCCCGTCAGAAGTTCGCCGGGCGCACCATCATGCTCGTCATGGTGCCCATCAGATTCGGACCCTTCCAGTAGTACCACTTGATGCCGTTGTAGCGGACCACGCTGGAGGAGCTCGGGTAATATATGCCGTTCAGGTTGGACGGACCGCAAGCCTCAAACCACCAACCTGGAAGCGGGAGTGTGCCCGAGTTTAAGGGAAAAAAGTCAGAATTAATTAAATTCAAGCCCATGAAATGTAACACCCAAATGCACAGCTGTAAGTCAGCAGTAACTTTATATTGGTGCAGAGCGGGAAAATTAAATGCACTTTTTTTGGACATTTACAAGGAGGGGGTGGATAGAAATGTTTAACAAGATGCGGTACAAGGACGGACAGATTGAGACGTGGGGGGGGGTTGGAAGCTGCGTACCTCCAGAGGCGAGCTGGGCACACTTGCAGGTGCAGCGGTCGTTGTCTCTGTCCTTGGTGCTGAATTGGGTGCCGGTGTGGGAGAGGCTGCTGGTCCGTCCAGCTGTGCCACTGAAGCCCTCGGCGTGAAGGCTGCAGTTTTGGGAGAGCGGCGAAAGAGCAAAGGATTTCAGCGGGGGGGAAAGCTCAGCCCACGGGCAACTTTCATTATTTAACGCCATGTTGGGCAACTCTGCTTGTTGGCAGCTTCACATGGCAGTGAGCTGTCACAGCCCGAAAAGCCTTTCTTTTTCTGAAATCATCTAAAGTAGGGCAACACCCAATGCTCTCTGCTGTCGAGGTGAGCCTTGTGCAATATTACAAAAAGAATGTATTCATTATTTCACGATCACAGATAATAAAGATAAATGAAAAGTAATCAGAGAATAACCAGTTATAACCACCTGTAAACCACTGTAGGAAACCATAGCCTGTTTAATATATGTACAATACTTTTTAACATAAGGCACCAT